ATACGCAAAGCCCGGTTGTAATAAGCTTGATTTTGAGCAGTTCAATGGACAGTTGTCTACCACCAGAATGAAATCATGGCAGATATGAGTATGGAAGTTCAACCTCGAACAATAGGAGTCAGTGCATTTCAATGTGTGGTAAAAAATGGCCATGTGAGAAATTCATTTCTCACCTTTGTGTAAATGCCTCACACTTACCCAGAGGTTTCAACCTAAACCCAATTGATGTGATGTCTTGCTGTATCGTCTTACTCGTCCTGGGCATTATTAGAACATGAAAAACCAACGTGTTCTGAAAAAAACTAAGAATAAATTGAAAAACTGAGAACAGCCTAATGAGCCCACCAGCCTGTAGTACAGCATGCTTATTATAAAATACAGGATGGAGAAATCAGGAATAATCGTTTATGAAATACGTCCATTGTCCTTTTACTGCATCCATACACGTGCATACTTCAATCGCGAAGGATTTTCATATAAGCAGGGGAAAAAAGGAATGAAGCGTCATACACTCACTTTATTGCAACAATATATGGGGTACGGGTCAAGTACCAAGTGGAAGTATTTCCTTGGCTGGAACCATTTGTGTCGTTTATAAAGTTTCTTTTGTCATGTGAAACTTACCAGGGAAAGGCCCTTATTGGATAACTGTTTCGTTCTTGTTAAAAATCATCGGTAGTGCAGAAAACGGAGTCCATTTTCTCTCTGAAAACCACCTTGTTATAGGGCAACCAATTAGATCAAAGATGACCAGACTCAAGTGATTGGTCAGATTCTACAATCAGTCAAGAAGATGATCCAATCAATCCATTGTTGCGTATCCATTTTCACGCTTTCTCTCTTCCCCATAAATAGGTAAGTTTTTGGTACAACTGATGAATTCCTATAAGCTTCCAACCGTGCTTTCACAAAGTGTCGAATCACTATCTGGATGAGTAACGGTGTCAGAAGGCGATTAATAAGCAATCTGTAACTTTCCAACTTCGAGTGAATCCGTTGTCTAAACCCCGTCCAGTTCGAATGAACTAATTTCTCCGTGAACAAAAAAGTACTTTTCGAGTAATTTATCGAGCGAGGATGGAAATTTCGGTGGAGTTGGGTTTGGTGGTTCCCCCCCCCCTCCCGCTATCCCCGAGAATGCTATGCTCTCGACCGCTGATCGAAACAAATGCTATTCCCTAGATACTTTTCACATTGAAAGGCACACTTGACAAGGTAATTAAGAATAGCAAAAGGATACAATGAAAGAATAATTGAATTTGAACTCATTCACTAGCTAACTTAAATTATGTTTTTTCTCTGTAACTCCCGGATTGACTATTACGTTTTATCCCCAATCCCAA